GTTCTAATTTACCGCGTAAATAGAGAGGCGTTACATATTCCTACCGTAACCAGTTAAATGATTGATTATAAAGTAAAAATAAAGAGGTTAGAAGAAATACGTTTCTCAATGAACACAGAAACAGAAAGAAAGACAAACAGATTAATCGGACAATACAAGAATCGATATAAGGTTCAACGAAAGGAAACGCAGAATTTTAAATCAAATTTTAAAACCGGCCATTTAACCGCTCACGGTACATTTAGTGTTAAAAACAAAACGATGGGAACAATGGTCAAAAACGAAGGAAGGGTGTGCGAGAAAATAGCTCATCGCAAAAGAGGCGTACTGGAAAAAGCGGTAGGCAGTGAAGAAAAGAAAAGTTGAAACGCGTTGAAGGAAGATCAATAGTGGAAAAGGGGGATTTTTATGAAAAGCAAGGATTAGATTTACCAAACAGGCGCGGAGTCGTGCACGAAACGAAAGGGGAACGAAAATGGAAGTGGCCGGTGAAATTCACTTAGCGCATCGCCCGGACGAAGAGAAAACTAAATGAAAATGGCTATTTGCGGTAGTAAAAGCGGCTGAAAGTTGCCGCAAACAATGCTAGGGAGCATTTAAAACAGGTTGCCGGCGGTAGAAGAGGCCAGCCCGGCCAGGTGGCTAGATAAAGGTATCACAGAGCCGCGATTTCCCGAGGACTGTGCTTTTTGTTTCCTCCCCTCGATCGCGGCGCCGTTCGCCCTGCAATCGGAAAACCAGCTTCGTTGGACACGATTCTCTGAGACGCGACACGCGGTTATTGAAACCCAGCTATCTATTATTCTTGCGATTCAGTCGTTTCGGATGTTCGTTACGCTACTTCGTTCTCACGCACTCATCAGCAGTGACGTACAGCATGGCGGGAAAGTATTTGTACGTTTAGTATATTTTGAACTTGCGATTCCTTTGCGGATATTTTGTATATCATAGGTAATATTTAAAACTGCAAAATTTTTTATAGTACATATTACTTGAAAATTTCAAAACTTTATAACGTGAATATTAGTTAAAAATTTCAACATTTTTTAGAAACAAATATTACTTGAAAATTTCGATGCTTTGAAAATGAATTCGAAACAGATTAACATGACATATCCATAATTCAAAATTCCTATTTTCCAGAAAATCGACTTCGGGAGTCTGTTCAAAACACGACACGTTTTATTCGAAAATCTGCCGACATTAAACGACAAAATTTAACGTTATTATACCTTCCTCGGTCTCTCCATTTCCCTTTACATTCATTTCAAAAGTGCCCACTATACTCCATGCAGATTCCTGCAAAAAATAAATAAACAAATATTCCAGTTCACAATTGAGACAAACAAGACGCAACGCTTTCGTAAATAGAAAACAAAGGATCGTTCCGACAAATGTCGGTAGTGAAAGAATGTGTTCCCCCGAAAAGCTGGCTCGTCAAAGTGTTAAACGCGTATTGTACCGAAGGCAAAGCCCGGTGACATTAGGTTATCAGCCGGTGGGACGGAGAGGCAGAATAACGGCGCGGAACAGGATTGTTCAGCGGCCATTGATGACACTGGTCCGTAACAAACGCTCATTGTTCTCTTTGTTCCATCCGCAGGACGTAATGCTGCCGAAACGATTTTTCACACTCCAGACAGGTAAATTAAAATCAGCGCCGCATAAAACGTGCTCCTCCACCCCCGCGCGAACCGTACTTCGATCTCTCCCGCCGCGCACAACGATGGCGCTCGAAAACATTTGTCGCACGGACCTCTTTGATTGCGCGCCGAAACGTTCAGCGTTTTCATCGAAATATTAAATGGGTCGTAAGTCGTTCCGCTGCCATTTACAATATTCCCGAATATTTGGTCCGCGCAGTGCGCGCGATAATTAACGCACCGTCAATTAAATGCTCCTCCGTTTTGCCCCGTAAACGACAAATTTGCCCTCGAGTCATTTTAACCGTGGGTGTCGCGTGTTTCAACGATCGTTTGCGCACCCGATCGAAACGAACGCAGCCCCAATCGACGCGATTTGCCATCCTTTCCCTCATCCCCTCTTTCTTTTTTAAACGGGTTTTCAGCATTTTCCGACGCCAATTTGCGTGAAGAGGCTGACGAGAGATTAATTTCGAAATCGTGGCTCCGTTCCGGACCTTTATCCGATAATTTCGTTCCCCGACCGTTTTCTCTATTCGTATGATTCGCTTAGGTCGTTTCTTGCTCGTTCTTTTTCTATGTGCGGAGTGCTTGACGGAACAAGCACCGTGGAATTTTTAATTAATCGCTAACGGTCCACCTTTGCTACCAGATGCGTGATAAACTCCTCGATCACACCGTGAGCGTTATAATCACGGCCCTCGTCGACGATTTGATGTTATCCGCTGTACATTAGCGTAGAGAATGATCGACCGAGATAGGGATGGTTTTAATTAAGGTGGTATGTTTTCCACGTTCCTTGTACAGTGTACTTTAGCTGACAGTGAGAACTGTTGGAAGAAGGGGAGGAGTTTTGATTAATTTGAAAAACGAAAATCGGGTCATTTATATGTCATTGGTACGACAGTTGGCACGTCGGAGTTCTCAGTTTTTAAGTGTCAGACGTCTTACAGTTAGAACCAGCGGCACTGGCTTGGCGGCGTTATAACTTGTTAATTAAATGGACACAATTTTTCTATGACATGTCAGATCAATTACCCTTGTCGTCGGTGAGCAGTGAACGGTGCGACGTCAACAATGATTTTCGTCCTCAATTAAAACGCAAAACGTTATCCGCTCGTGTGCCTGTCAAGGATATTCAGCGCTTGTTGAGTCGTTAACTCGCTTAAATGCGTTCCTTCTCTTATGAATATGTAAACGGGTTTTAATGGGCTGGATATTTGTCCGCGTGGCTCGCGATTGCACGGAAAACATGAAGCCCCATAGACGGAGGCTTCGATTAACGAATTAATAACACGATCGACTGGTCTTTCTATTAATCAATTATCTGGAGATAGAGTACTCATCGATCCGCTATGCGAGAAATTTGATCGGACTTCGTCGATAACTTGACATAGCCGAAATTCTCAAAATCGAGTGATACATATGTGTTTTAATTATAACCAGGTAAATAATATACTCGGTTTCCAATTTCTCATTGCATTCATACAAAAAAAATTGAATTCAACCAAGCAGCAAAATATGAAGTACATCTTCGATTTCGAAATATTGCATGCATATCCTGATTTCAGAAATCCCGTCAGTACTACAATGCTAGCACCTGTGTTGACACATCAAAGTGTTGATATTTCTGTTCCTTTCATTATGCAACGAGAACATAAAGTATGAACTATGTATTTACAAAACTTCAAATGATTTGTTTCTTGGTTATTTATTTGAGTATTAATTTAAGCGAGAATTGCGATGGAGCGTTCAACTTATTTTCTTAGTTTCTCGTAACTAGACATTCTTGGCAAGCGTTTACAAGCGAATTCGGCTGCTACGGTGAATATATGAACGGCCTAATTGTCATTAATGGAGCATCTTCGCCGGTGTTGTGTTACACTTAGCGTCTATTTGCCTGTAGTTTAATTATTAGGGAAAATTATGTATTCACCGAACAATATAGAGGGACTGGGTACTTCGGAGCTGCCCGGTTAATTGCTACAATTAGATTTGATTAATGCCTCTAATTACACTTTCTTTTTTGACTGTGTAACGACCCCGGTATCGTTGCTTCTGAATCACCGCGGTTAGAGCTGACATATGTTATGAAAATTAATATTTGACACGGCCCAGTAAATTGGCGAAATTTATTTTACGAGGTTTCACTTAACGAGATGGTTACAGCAAACGCCATAAATAACAACGATACTAGGAGGAATGATAAATTTGAAGTACACTTTGTGAATTTTCTGTAATAAAAAAGTTATTGCTATATATTAATTAAGAGATTAACGCATAAAGTATTTACTATCCATATTATTGATTGACTGTCATTAAATTATGTATTTGCTGGCTTGATAAAGATAAAATCAGATGTAAACTGTCCACTGAACGGTACGCCGAAATGATTACTATTCGATTATGTTCGAATTTAATTATTAAAGTCAACAATATTCGGTAATACACAAGAGATTTATTAGAAATTAATTGTTGTGGAGAGAAATAATCAATGTAGTACAACACAGATGGTCGATCAATATTTTAATTACTAAGTAATGAATACATTATACTGTATGATAATGTTTTATATTTACATTTGTTGTTTTATACAATTAAACAATAATTCTGTGTTACCATGAATAAAATTACATAGACAACGTTAACGGTAAATCTGTGCACGCTTATCGCAGGTAATTAGTAATATTTCATTCTTCTGCTTAGTAAATCTCAATTTAGATGCTAAAAATGAAGTTTGGAATTACCACTTTTAATTAACAAAGTTCGTGCGCTTGCTTAATACGTTAATGAATGAATGCATAAATTGAACTTAATTAATAGAACACTCTAAGTACTAGCCGTAATTAAAGTAACTTTTATGGTCTTTATTCGTCATATAAATCCAATTTTATATTCTCATAGTCATAATTTTTTATTTTATCAAATCGTTGTTGAAATCAGATACTGTGGAGGTCCCACGTTAGTAAAACCAACCTATGGTTCAAAAGTGACGAGAGGCAAGGGGACTCTTTTACTCGTGATATTTGGGCCTCAGCGTGCGCCAATAATGACCATGCATTGAAAGCCGAGCGTTGTGAGTGGAAATGTCCCCCTACCCCTCTTCACTTTTATACTAATGGTCGGCTTGGCTGATGTGGGATCTCCACAGTACAGAATTTAACAGTGTTTTATAGCATTTATTGAACCTGTTCCAAGATGTTATCACGCCTATCTTAGAAACTATACTGTCATACTGAGTCGTACGAATAACGTTCCGTGAGATCGTTTAAATCGGACCGCTTGATACAAATTCTAGTCACCATCGTTTTCTTATTATATGATGTACCTGACCCCGGCTTGTCTTTGTCATTACAGTGACATTGATAGATGCGGAGGCAGTGGCAGGTGGAATTGCTCAGTTACCGTGCGACGTAGATCCGCCGGTCCCCGGAGACAAGCTACATCTAGTTATTTGGTACAAGGAGGAGGCAGACGCGCCGATATACACGTAAGTTTATACTTGCATCACTTCTGTCTTGACTACGAACGTTTATGCAAATTCATATTCCTCCGTGTAAACATATGAAAACAAAAATTCTTGTCGAAATCTCATTTTCACGTCTCTGAATACTAGAATTACCGAGCATTTAAATTGACTTTTTGAAGTATCTTTATAAAAGCTATAAATGTCCTATAATTTCTTTTATAACTAGAATCGCTAAGATAACTTTGTCTTGAATACTTTGCTGTCGGGTTATTTTTCGCGTGTCTTACATTTATAGCGGGCGAACCCAAGCAAATTCACAAAATGATAACGACTGACACATCAACTTTAGAATTATTTTCAATAATTGTAAACGAAGGAATCACGAATGATTTTAATCCATCTGGTAGTTCTGGTGCTAACACTTGCCTTTTTATACTACTTTTTCGTTTGTCTCTTTTCATTGTTATCACCGTTTCCACTATTCTCGGTATCGTCACACAGTATTTCCACTATTTTCACATGTATTTACATTCGTCGCTTTTTCTTCGTGTTATTTTTGAACGAGTGCGGAGACACAGAGACGATAAAGCTAACGGAACACTCTATGCAATATTTATCTTTTGAGCTCGGTGCTCTTCCAAATTGAGAGTATGTACACTTTCAAACCTCTTAAAAAATGTACACTCGTTTGAAAATTCGAGGAACAAGAATCGCTCGCGAATAGTAGTACAGAGAATATTCGTTTTGAATAATTTACAATTGCGCAAAATCGAAATGTTACATTTTATACTTAAAATTTTTTACTC